CCAAATATGTATACGAGATGCTATAAACGCATATTGTAAAAAGTTAACTATAACCGAATAAAAGGAGCCGGCCAAGAAGCCACCTTAACATCAAAAAAAAAAAAAAAAGTTCAATGCAACAATTAGATATTAGGTCTATTCTTAAGATTGACTAGTTTGCTATGTTATTAATATGCTATAATAATTAGTTATTGCTCAAATTGCTCAAATATTTTATATTATTGAGAAAACACAAAATTGCAATTTAAATTTATCTATTTTATAAGTTTTATGCATTATGTAGATCTCTGTAATAATAAGTAAAAGTGGCAATTGTTTAATTAAAATATAATATAATATGTTAAATGATCTACTAACTGCAGAATGATTAAACCTTATCTGACTAATAATGAAATATGTGTGTTCTTTATATTTATATATTAGAGAAGCATTTTATGAAAGAAAACATCTTAACTTGTCTCTGTATATTCATATATATATTCAAATTTAACTCAAATGAAGAATCATGATCACGTGTAATTAAGTATCATGATTTACAAAGTTAATTAGCCTCAGAGTCAATTAATGATTAAAACCCTGCTCTAATATAAATATAAAGACAAACTTATTGAATTTCTCATTTTTTCTTTTTCCAACTTTGCACTATATATTATCACTCCAAAACTATAAATATAAAAGCAGAATTTCACAAAATTTTCTTTGTTATTTTTTCAATCTTTGTCTTAAACACTATCTCTTGAAAGTTATAAATTAGATAGTTTACTTCTAATTAACTTTATAGCTTAAAATAGTATAAAGTAGGTTTTTCTTAGAAAACTATATATAATTTTTTTTTTTAAAAAAAAATAATAATACTAAGTATTTTATTAGCATTCTTATTATTATATTTAATAATTTAGTCAGTTTGCTAAAATAAACAGAATACAAACTAAGAAAACTAAGAAAGCAATCTAAAAAGTGGTATTACAAAAATGTATCAAATCTAATATTCAAGTTTTGAGTTCACAAGAGAGTTTATCAGATGGAAGTCAGTTTAATAATGATAATTTTGACTTTACAGCTTCGTATGAGTTGAATAGCACTTCAAATATATTGAGTAGAAGTGACCATCTTATTAATGACGATTTTAGCTCTACTGCTTCACATACATTGAATAGTGCTTCAGATATATTGAGTAGCAGTGATCAACTTATTAATGATGATTTCAAATACAGTTTTTCTACAACTTCAGATGCATCGAGTAGCACCTCAGACACGATAAGTACTAGTGACTAATCAATAGATATAGAAGAAATTAAATTACAAACGGAGGCAAGAACAGAATATATACAAAATGTAGTAGATGGTAGAATTAATTTTCAGCTGCTATCTAGAGAATATGGCACTTATTTTAAAAACTTTATAGAGATAGCGTGTTTTACTTGGGTTACTAAACATATGATAAGTAAATATTATTAATAGGAAGTTTCATTATTTTTAATTTTTAATTTTTATTTTATTTTATGTATTTATTTATTTTTTTTGAATAATTATCTTTAATAATTATTTACTTAATTTCAGCAACTAAAATATATAAAGAATTCGCATATATTATAAAACATTCTAAATTCAGACTTAAACATGTAATTGGAAATGTTTGGCGGTTAAGGTCATTACAAAATTGACTCTCATTTTAGGTGGTAAAATGCTATAGAATTCCGATTCAAGATATGAATACACTCTTAACATCAACACCTTTCAAAGATGCTTATACTATATCAATAAATGAGCATATAAAACAAGTTATAAGCAATAATAAATTAAGGTCACAAATGTACTTCGGATCTGAGGTTGAAGCTGAAACCAAATCAGAATTTTGGCATGGGTGTATATAGCATGAATCTTCTCTGTTCAGTCAATATTCAATAAGAATGAATCAAGGTAACATTTATATATAACTGTAAAATAACAAGCATATTAAAAAATTTTAAATTTTATTAAAATTTTTTTGTTTTAATTTTTTATGTTTAAAATTATACACTATAGAGTCTTTTATAAAATACAAGGATAAAGGAACAAGAATCAGAAAAATTATAGTGATAGTTTCAATCTCTAGTGGTATGAAATTAAAGATCTAACTATACATGCCACTGAAATAGGTTTTCAAAAAAACCTTATTTTGTTTCCATTAAAGCAATTTAGAATTTTTTATATGCAAGAGCAAATCTAATTTAGCTAGTTATGTTCTTTATAATTTCGTATCTTCAAAAAAAGTATCAAAAAATTTCATCTTTTAAGTAAAATAGATCAAAAACAATTTCATCTTCAAATTTTAATTTCATATCCCGAAACCCAAAATAATTTTGTCGGCATGTATAGATCCAATATCTTCATTATATTTCTGAATTACCAAAACTCTTTGCAAGTTCGGCAAGGTTAGAGTGATCACAAAACAGAGAGTTATAGTTAGGCAAAACAATATTCTTAGTAGATTTATATAATATTATTGGATCAACTACTGTTTGGCTTCAAGATACTCTGGAATCATCTAAATATTATCAATTTTATGTTAAGGAAATATTGTATAGTTATGAAGACTGGTAGAAGATAAAAGACATCAAATTACGGCATTGACACCCAATTGAGTATACCCAAATTCCTGCTTCTGCTCTTCAGGATATATTTATCTTCAAAATTATGCTAGATATCTACTATGATAACTTTGGCATTTTTTGTTATGTATATCACTCTCTAGACAGAGTTTATCTACAATTTTGTAATATACCCTTAAATCTATAAACAAAACTTAGCAATCATTTTGTTTTGAGCTTTGTTCTATTTGATAGATGTTTTGATAATATAATAGAACCAATTATAAATAAAATCAAATATTTGAAAAAGGTGTTTTAATAAATGTTGATGGTTAGGATATATAGGTGATCGCAACCTTGGGGTAGTGATGTACATTTTGACTGTTCTGCCATTTTTGAAAATGTCCAAGATCTGAAATATTAATTTTAGCTTTAACTATTTAAAATATTTTTATAAAAAATATATAAT